TTATTGAATGATTGATTGTTTTTATATTTATTGATTTTAGTGTAGTGAGTTTTTGTTCTTTTTATGTAGTTAATTTTGCGGAATTTATTGAAGATGCTATCAAAATACACTAATGGAACATTTACACGGTATCAGGTTATATCAAAATCTAATTTTAGAGTTTGTTCAAAATTTAGAATCGAGCTATTGTTTTTTTTTTGGTATTTTATCGTCAATATCAATTTTTCTATCACAATCATCTAGCCACTGCATGCGTAAGTAAATTAGTGAGATTTTCTCGTCTCAATTTTTTAATGTTGCATGATTTTTTACTCTGTGTTTTTGTCAGGCTTAGCTTGTCTCGCCTGCTAACTAAAATTCAAATGATTCCTACAAAGCAATTCGAAAGTTAACTTTAAATTCAGATACAGATGATAAATTTTTTATGACGAATTATTTTAATCTGTAGTCTAACAATGATACCGGCGTTACACAGCAACTAACCGACTAATTCAAAATGGCGTCGAGTTTATTTGAACTGTGTGTAAAACGTTTTAATGGGGTTACAGCGTCGAGGTATCTGCTCGCTGGCTTTTGACAATGGCCGCAATCGCACCAGACCACAATAAGACACGACAGGCATCGACTATCTCCGTATCTCCAACAAATATACCGTCCTTAAGTTCTTAAGCTGCGATGTTGCGAGGGGCGCCAACAACACTCAAAGCCATGCATATGCATACTTTAATATTATATTTTTTATTTTAAGTACTACTTAGATTAGTTACTCGAATCTTTGTACCTTAGATGTTAATTATATTCGAACTTTGTTTAACCCTTAATAGCCTGATTTACGAAAGTTTTTTTTTTTTTAATATTACTGTGTTTGCTTGAGGCTCTAGATGAAGGGAAAAATAGCTAAAAAAATGAAAATCTTTATTTTACATATTTATTTAGAAAAAGAAACAGGTATCAATTTTGATACTTCAGGCATTAAGGCCATAATGACATCAGTTGCAAATTTAATAATTGTAGGAAACTTACCTCTTGGTTCTGTAAAAAGGTATCCTACCTATGCATGAAATAATGCGAAACATTGGTTAATTTTATTATCGCATAACGACACTTTACACTTTTTACAGAACCAAGAGGTAAGTTTCCTACAATTATTAAATTTGCACTTATTTCTAGAATCCATAAATATTTTTTCATGACAAATAGAATCTAATTGTAATGTAATAATTATTATATTAATAATAATTGTAATAAAAAAAAAAAACAAAAACTAATTGTAATGTAAACATTCGGTTTAAAAGACTGGTATCAAAATTGAAACTCTAGGTTATTAAGGGTTAAATCTACATCCGTTTTGTACAGTTAACATACAATTTATATTTTCTTTATGAGCGAACTAAAAATTTTAATTTATTTGACAGATTTTAATATTTATATAGTTTTTTTTTTTTTCAAATATTGCGAATTTTATTTTACCGTTGCCTCGTGTTAAGTGATGGCAGTTTGTTTCGTTGTTTCTAGTTAATTATTTTAGATTAATCGTAAACTGCCAATAGAAACGTTTTTTCAAGTTACCGATATATCATATACAAAGACGTAGATTGTTTATTTTTTATTTATTATATTTTATTTTCTTATACAAAGTATTTAAAACAATCCTTTTTCGTGATAACCCTTGCTTGTAACACAACTAATCTATTAATAATTTTAATGTAAATCCGAATGTTTGTTTTGGACTTTTTAAAGTTTTTTTAGATTTCACAACATCGGAATCATCACCTTGCATGATATCATCCTTTTAGATTTTCTTTTAAATTTAATGTGAATAACAATTCGAGTTTTTCTTATTAACTATCAAAATCTCTGAATGAAGAATTATTTTTAAATAAAGAGAATTCAGCGATTACAAGCAAAAGGGACCAAGTAAAAATTGATTAAAGAACCACACGAATATAATATTTTAACTTTTAAATAACAACACTGACATCTTTAATATTACTATATAAAATAATACGAACAATTCTAGAACAATCTAGGCAGTTTTATACGCGATAATTATTAATTTAACGTTTAATCAAACTGCAATTTATGAAATGTTATTTTATATTATTACTCGTAATTTATTTAGTAATTTTATATTTATCGACATACCATAGGCTTAAGTATTATTATTATCTTTGAAAGATTTATTAGTTAGTTTAGAAAAGAGTGAGCTTTATCAAAATACAGCCTTTTTATACTTAAGTATATCGATGCGAGGATTGCTGCTAAGTCAGAAAAAATGAAATTAAAACCAGCCATTACCTGTACCTTGTTGGGATTTAGAATGCCCGAAAATTTTTCAGTAATTATTCTTTCATAATTTTATTTCCAAAGCATTAAATTAACTATAAGTTATAGGTTTAGACGTTATAGTAGACATTAGTGAAACTGCCAAATTAAAAAAAATAGACGCGTCAAAAAAGCTGACTTAGAAAAAAATGAAAGAAAATATTTGGCAGTAATATATTCGAATAAATATAGATAAGATATTAAAATTTAAGAGATTAGTATATGCCATTCTTATAAATTTAATGAGATTACATTTCTTTCCAGCATTTATGGAATAAGGTTGGTCACCCAGAGAAAACTATATTTTATCATCTAAAAATCAACTGCATATGTCTAATGTGTTAAAAGAAAAATGTATTCGTGGGTGTACCATTGCAGTTTGTTCTCGAATGTTCTCGAATGTTGTGGAATGTTCGAGAGATGTGTAGAATGTTGAGTAGAGGCTGTAATGTGGTGTGCCGCTAGGTGTGGTGCGACGCGGGCGGCTCGCGCAAGTGCGGGAGCACCCGTACCAGCGCACCGCACTTCCCGCGCCCTAATTCCCGCCAAAACGCTCTCCATCCGCCATTTTATTGACAAGGTAAAAAGCGCGCGCACACGCATGCTCTCGATGAATACGCTTGCATTTTTTATATTTCACTTGTGTATAAATGTGTAACTTTCGTGTCTACAAAAAAAAAACATTTTTAGTTAAAATTTTACAGTACCAATGATTAAGATTTCTTTGATGATTTTTCGTAACTCTATTGGAAATCCGCTACCAAGATATATTTTTTTAATTTTTGACACGAAACTTGTTCATTTATTGCTTAATGGTGTCCCCCAACAAATCTGTTCTCTTTAGTCACGCAGTATAGTTATTGTATTAGCAAAAATATTCGTCGGTAATGCGTGAGTGCCTCTGCTTTATTGTCTTTGTGTCCTTTCTATTTATTTTTTATTATCGTGTACTTATTAGATATTTATTAGTTATGTGAGTAGGATGACTTGTCCATTTACTTCACACCGGATCTGAAGTGACACTGCATAATTTGAAACTGTGATTTTTATTCTTTTTTTATAGATTTTTTAGACCTGAGCATATTGTGATGCAACAATGGAATATCTATTTTATCCCTTTTTGACTTTATTTGTGACTTTTTCGAATAATTAGTGGAATAATAAACCTTTTGAGATTCGTCATCACAATGTGTTCGTGATCACGCCTCGAGTAATGTTTTCGGGTATCATTTAGAAATATTTTTTTAAGGGAAAGAAGGATTCGATATACAACATAGACTTATTTCTTTCTATTTGTGAAGATTCCAATAAAAACTTTCTACCAAATAGATCTCCAGTCAGGTGCTATCCAGGGGTTGTGATATCCTTCTTTCCTCTATTTTCGTCCAGTATTTGTCAAGGGAGAGAGCATTTTCAGAAATGTGCCATCAGTCCAGTATTAAATGAATGCTTGTCCTTTGACTTATTCATAATAACCACAACTTTTTTTTCATAGTCAAAATAAGATTTTTTAATTTGTAAAACGTTAAGCTAGTTGTTTCTACTTTGCCTTAGATATAATTATATTAGGCTTTCGTATTTGAAAGATTTTTTCGTATTCTTTTTAAGATGATTTGCACTTGTGTCCTTGTGGATTTCAAAACAGGCAAACATACGCCTTTTACGTATTATCACGCTTCTTTACACGAAAATTGATTTTAAGTTTCAAAATGCTATTCTATATTATTTTTTTTATAAAATTTTTATATAAGCTATGATGTTTGTGTAAGATATTGTTTAAAAATTGTTGATTGTAAATATTAAATGCATTTTCAGAGAATATACATGCAATAAATCTGAAATTATAAAGTGTTGAGTTTTCTTTTTAGCTGATCGCGTAATGTAAATGATTTATGAATGATTTTGTTATAATTGAGTAAAGTTGATGCCGTGTAGTCATTCGGTCAGTTGTAGCCTCACAAGACTAACATACTCCACAAGGCCAAGTCCCCGTTTGTTTACAATATTTACCAAGTGCACTATCATAACTGCTATCACAACTTGCAGAATATTTGTATATTATATCTATATTATATGAGTCACTAACATGCAAATATGTAATATTAAAATACGTCTACAGACTTATTAACAATTTAAACGAATGCAATCTCATATAATTATTGATTATTATGTGCGATGTTTTGAATAACTTACATACTTGCATTGGGGTGCTATGGTTATAAAGTGAATAAATTTATTATGCTTGTCTGGGCAGTGCTTGACGCGGCTCTGCGACACATCGTCTGTCTCAAGCATTGCCTCTTTGGGAACTATTGGGCATTTAATCCTATATCGTAGATCATATCATACTAAATTATTTAACAATTTTTTTCAACCATTAACTACGTAAACTAATTAATTAAATTTTATACCGTGTATATTAACCGGGCCGCAGTGAGAATATAATGTCTCGGCACGAATGCCTGATAGCCTCCCGAGAATTTGATTTAATTTTATTTTATTGATCGATTTTTATTTATTTTTTGATTCGATTCCGTACACCGGTCATATCAATCCGAGATCACGTTTTATCGCTTTTATTAGCTGCATGTCTTCGGTTTATTGGACACATGTCTAAAGACAATCATGTGATCAAGGTGACACGCGCTACCAGACCAAAATTAACAGATGGTGACGCGTTCCATTCATTAAAAAGTTATTAATTATTAAATTCGCGGTATAGTTTGTATTCGGCAGCTTGAAAGCGCTGGAACTAGAGCTCGCGATTGAGGCTTAAGGTGTTATCGGACCATGACATTGTTGATATACTAACATTCTGTTTTCTCTCTTCTCGTTAACCCCGCTAGGTGAGTGCTAACGGAGCAGTGGCACTAACAGGAGGCGCGGCCGCGGACTCCGCCCTGGCACCGCCATGCCACCACAATGCCACCACAATGCCACTCGCCACCGCCGCGTAACACTACCATCGGAACATCGATCACCGTAGCTATATCGTTGGGCCTTTCACGTTAACATATACTATGTATTTTAATAGTCTAACTATTAACATTTATATGCCTGTTATGTTTATAACATAATGAACTATTAACATATTTGTGGCGAAATGGCACACGCCATCGACTTATATACTTTTATTGTATCACTTGAACGTTTTTGGTTGTTACAATTTTAGGTTACCCGTGTCCTTTGACGGCGCTAAATTTAGTTAAGTATTTATCATAAGTTTATAAGAGATCTTTATTATTAATACATATTTTTTTATAAAATTTCGAATAATTGTTTTGATAATATAATTTAGCGTCGTCTTTTAAGTTTATTTAAATGTGTTGCCATTACTAGATTTTGGCGAACGCTCTAATAATGTTACTGTGTAGATGAAATATAGATGTTTGATTTTTAAGCACAAGGAAAACTAACATCTATATTTTCATGAATTAAAAAATAAAATCATTTTACAATTTTAGCGAGAGGTTAAAAAATTATTTTAGGTTTCAATTATGATATTATGTCGTAGCTTTTTCTCTTAAAATGTCTTATTCTTTTTATCTCTGCATATATTTAACAAAGTAAATTTTAGTTAAAGTTTATATAAATAAAAACAAGTACAAATTGACTATATGATATCACATTTTTATGGTAAATGTTGCCATTAAATCTAACAAATAATTGAAATTATAAGAAGATAAATGGCAACACTGATTTCAACAGCCAATAGCGAAGAATCAAAATGTAAGTATGAATGAAAAATATGCTTTGCTTTTCTATTCAAACAAATTAGTTTAAGATACACTCATCGACTTATCAACTTTCAATCATATATTTCGGCAATATTTTTTCTAACCTCAAAGCCAAAGAGTAATTTAGGTTTTTTTTGAAAAATTATATCCAAAATTATCAAAATATGTCTTCCTTTTGACGAAACAATTAAGTTGGTAAGATGATGAATTCTTTTACAAGTGCATTATAATGATTGCATTATATTTTATTTTCTAGTGCTTAATATTTATAAATAACAATGATATTTCGTGCATACTAAGTGCCTTATGTACAATGTTTTCACCTAAGCGGTTCTATATACAAATTGTTATATGCTATTTAAGTAATTTTAGAAGAGATTAAATTATTGTTAACTTTTCTAAATGTTAATGTTTATAATATAAATCATTTTGAATTAAGTTGAAATAACATCAGATATTTAATCTCGATATTTTTATAGTTTTTATTTAGATATGTATTAACTAGGATTGTAGCAATCTCTCTAGGGAATCTCTGATAGCGTATTTTGCAATAAACAGCAAAATAACCTATAAAGTCTAATACGAATACTATGCGTGCAAAATAACATACGACTTCCCAAAAATTAGACGTCACGTCTACCAGTTTGCACAGGCAACCACGCCATATACGCCATTCTCAGTATATATTTAAAAGATAAACTTTCCAACATGGCTGATGTACAAGTCCCATGTTAATCTGCACGAGTAGAAATTGAGCAACAATAACTTATAAAAAAAAAAACCCTTTATCACCGTTAATCTCAAGCTATCTAAGCTCAGTAAGGGCATTTTAACTAATATTATTTAGTTGATTCGACCTAAAACCTAAAGTTTGTAAATAAACAAGATATATGGTATTTTTTGCCGGGATTTTTAGTTTTAATGAAGCTAAATTTATAATGAAGACAATGTTAAAATGATCAGATTGGTGTCCAACTTTGGGTCGTTGATTGGAACACATAATATATTAAATTAGGAGATTTTTCTAAAGCAATAACAGTTATCATTTAGTAATATTAGTGCAATAGGCGTGTTAATTTGGTTGATATTTTATTAAAGTCTCGATATAGACGAAAAAGGTTACATTTATGATGTAACTTTTCGCCTGATGGTTTATTTTTACGCATCGAGTATTTACTTTATAATAGAGAGATCTGATGTTGAGATTAAAAAGATTATATCGCATTCTTCTAAAAAAAAATTATTTAGGATAGAGAAAATATAGTTACGAGTTTGACTTTAGTAACGTCGCATTAATTTTTAAATAATTATGTGAATTTTAATCTTCATTAATTTTTAGTGTTAAAATATTTCAATATTTCATACAATAGAACAATTTCACAAACTTAGTACCAATTACAATTTTACATTCTCCGTCCATGTTTACTTCATTTTTTAAGTACTTAATTTGTTTGTATTTCACTGTTAAAGAAACAGACGTTATTGGACTAATACGTTGGTACAGTTTCAAATTTTTTGTTTTGCAAAAATATCAAAAATAATTACCGAATTGTTGTAAATCAATTTTTTATCTCCAGTGTCTTCCAGATTTACTTCCTTTGTTAATTCTCTTTTAATTTCTATAGTGTTTTATTAAATAGTTTCTATTTTAATACAAAATTTCACAAAATATACGTTCATTTGCATGATTCTTAATTTTCTATGTCAAATTCTATACTATTGTAGGTACTTGACGACATTTTTGACAACAAATATTAATTTTTGAATACTACTCCGATTTTTGCGCATTTGAAGATAGCTACATTAATATGTGGGCGAGACAAACTTACACACAAGAGTCACGACAGAAAGAGAAGGCAAAACTTTATTTTGTGCTAGCTTCTTGCTAACTTCAGATGTGCAATTATTTGCGGCACGTATTAATTTGTATATGTCAATTCAATGGAAATAACAAATTATAACAAACCTATGTAAACGTTTGTAAGTCTGTAATCACAGAGTTATAAAAAACAGACATGTTTGTATCTATTTAAACAATCAAATTTTCCAAAACAAATCCATAATAACATAGACAATTGATTTCGTCAGACTGTGTGTAAATATAATATGTAATTTCCATTGAATTCGACTACAGATATCTGTACTAAAATTTCCATAGTCTTTCTCTTTTTATGTACAAAATCAGCATTTGTAAAAATGCAATGCCATAGAACGTTCGGTATTTAAAAATGATCAATTCTAACAGATTTAATACAGAGTTTGTGATGAAATCATATTAACGTACAAATCATGATTACAGTCTGCTTTTAAATAGTTTGTAGTGTTTCAATAAGATTTCTTGAAACATTTTAGTGCCATCTAGCGGACGATACGCCGTTGTTTTTATTTGTACTTATTGTATCTACATTGTGGCAGTTCACTAATAAAGTGCCTTAAACTGATCTTTGTAAATATTTATATTATTATTATTAATTTTTTTTCATTAAAGTATTATAGAGGAAATTGAATTCTTACAATTGTTTATCGTAAATCAAATAGATTTATATCGACCTTAATTGGTTTTAGTTAAGAGAGATTGTGCATATTACTTATGTCTGTTTTGATGTGTGTTTAAGATTGATTTGGCATTAGTAAATATATTATTTAGAAAATGTGTTTATTTTATTTCTTTTTATTATGCCCCTTATAATTTTTGATACATTTAACATAATTTGTGTTTTTTTTTGCAATAGTAATCCAAACAGTAAATAACAACACCATCATGTAACCGTGATTAATATTTGCAGATGCAATAATTTATTACATTACATGGAAAGAACTTTTACGAATTTGAAAAAGCAGGTTTGCCCTGTGGCTATTTTGCTACTTTTCTGGTAGATTTCAACCGTACATTACAGTGCCATCTATCGTATGAAATGTTCACTTCGAAATACTCCAGACAAAAGGTTCTACGGCACAATGTGTGTTCTCATCGCTAGATGGCGGTATTGTGTTATTTATAAAAAAATTAATATACCTTGAGCTAAAAATATTTTTTACACTTTTAGCAAGATACTATTCTCTGGCTGTCAAAAAAACCTTCGAACTGATACTTCATGAACGTGAATCCATAGAACATCAGTTATGAAAGAACGCCATGATCGGGTCTTTCTCCTAAAATCCGTTTAGTAAGAACATCACTAAACTTACGATGAATTACAAAAAAAAAACCAGTCTACCTATCCAATTCGTTAAATCAGTCCAAACATATTTGAATACTTAATCCGTTTTACTGTACACATTGATGAATGTAAAAGTACTTGGAATAAAATTTAACAGTGCACTATTTGAGCGTTTCCCCGATGCCGGGAAATGGAATTTTAAATTCGCTATCGCATGGACGTTCCGGGATAGGTGAAATAAACGGCATGTACTTCTGCAATGTATTTGTCATTGCATTCACATACTGGCTGAATGTCGAAAATGTTGCACTGAATGTTTATTTTTAAATTCAATTTTTATTTTGTTTTTTAGTAGTTATATTTTTAAAACAGCTTTCGTCCGTGACACCGTCCGCGTGGAATTAGAAAAAATAAAACAAAAGTGGGTGGCTTATATGTTCTAGACTATCCTCTACATCTATACCAAATTTCATCGAATTCCTTCCATCCATCTAAAATTTCTCTTAAATACTATTTAATATCAAAAAGAGGATACTTTGTTTGATTGTAATGAATAGGCTCAAAAATTACTAAGCCGATTTTAAAAAATCTATCACTGTTAGAAAGGTAATTTATCTGTGAGGCTATATTTAGTCATTTCTATATTATTAATTTTAAATTTTACGCGGACGGAGTCGCGGGCAAAAGCTAGTTTAGTTCAGTATGATAACTTATATAGCATTTCTCATATTTATGTTGTATTTTGTCGGCGTCGTCTTCTATTAGTCCCCTACTTTAACTAAGTCCATATAATAGATTTATGCATGAGATATAAATGCATAATTGAATCGTCATTTTTATTCTGATCGTTTAGAGGCTGTGAGTAATAAATCTTTATAGGAAATTTTATCTTCCATGTGTTTCTAATAACTTATTTAAAATCTTAAGTAACGAGTGTACCTAGTGTTGTAAAAGTGCTATTTTGTACAGAAAGATGACCCATTGAATAGTACTGTATCATTCGAATACTGTAAAACAAAGATAAAGAAAAAATACTGTGAAACTAAACTTGATTTTTACTTTTCTTAAGGCATCGAAGCTCACGTAAACATTGAATGAAACACACGTTTGCTACAGATAACATAAATAAATAAATAATAACATATAGCTTATTTTAAAATGTAAACAACTAGTTTGTTTTCTATCTAGATTCTAACACTTGTGGTAATACCAAATCACATTTGTATTCCGTGAAAAACAATGGACGTAGCATTCTGATAAAACTGAACAACTATGTGTAGTACGGAGGCTTGCGACGTGTGTAGGGGCTGGCTGGCTAGGGGCCCGCGGCTAGGGACTAGGGGCTAGGGGCAAACCGCTCGTAAAATTGCAGCGAGCCTTCAGGGGACCGTCTCAAGACGCTCGTGCATTCTTAGAAAGATAGTATAAACAAAACTAGCAGATAAAACAATACAAACTGTCTATCAGTAGTTATAAAATGTAAGAAATAGTAGAAGTAAAAGTTCGAAATAATCAAAAAGTTGTCCTTTCTTTTTTATAAATTTCGAACCTTTCGAAATCAGAATTAAAAAAAATCATTACATCATTAATCATATTCAAAATCAAAAATATTTTTATCTCTCGCTATCATTTTAATCTTGCAATATAAGTCCACTAATGACGTACAATTATGAAAGATTTAATGTCCAATTAAGAAAGTAAACGTAATTACCTAATGGATAAATTGAAGTGAAAGGCAGTGAGTCAGCAATCGAATTTTAATTTATTAAAAAATAACATTTATTGCAAATCAATACTATACTGTATTATAATAAAGCGTAAACACACATTTCTTTGTTGCCTAAGATGTCAGCAATTACGGCATATTTTTGAATAATTATTTTTTAATAAAAAGCCAGAGACATACGTTACGCTTTAGGCTATATATTTTCATGCCATTAAACTTAGGGGGTAAATATTTTGGATAAAAACCCTAATGTGGGAAAGAGATCATAAATTGCTGCCAACATCAAGAAAGCAAGGTTGCCATGGTTTGTCAGCGTCATGTCATTTTGACATTTGCAATTGATGATTTGACACATGTTAACAATAAAATAAGATTTTCATAATTTCATGCGGATGAAGTCGCAGGGGAATAGCTAGTTATGTATAAAGTTAAAGTTAGTTTTAAATATTAAGTACAAACACTATACTAAAATCTAATTTTAAAAAGCTTTCGACCTAACTGAGGCAAACAGAAAAAAGTCCTTTTTCATCTTTCCAAATTTCTTGGTAATGATAATTTGTAGTCTCTTAGAATTTGATATATACTGTATGTTTAAGAAATCAACCCGGACTTAGCTAACAACGTGAGGGCGGCGCGGTCGTAAAACTCTCCCCCAACAACAGTCCGCTGCAATGCCAACGCCATTGATTTTCAATACGTTTCCAACACTTTCCTTTTCGATGACCATTGAAAATCCTGGCAACATACAAACTCTTGAGATTAAATAAGAGGGCATGCACCTTTGTCTAAACTATCGCATAATTATTGTGTGATTGTCGATTGTTTCGCAGCCAATTTAACTGTTCAGTTGCATAA